AAGGGAGAATGATTCTCTGAATGCCCGAGCAGAAGTGTCGTATTCTATTCGGCTGACACTTTTCAAGCCTCTATTCCAACTTTGAAGTTGGAAGGAGGGGGATCGAAAGATTTTCTGAATGCTTGTAAATAGAAAACCCCTGAGACAGTAGCCGTAAGTTGTAAAATGACTTGACAACGCAGCCTCATAATAACTATAGAAGTTATTTATTTATTTTGTTATTTATTTATCCATGAAAAGCTCGAAAAGAGATCTCTTGTAAAAGCAGTAGGAGAACCCCTTCAGCCTCCCACAACACTCTGTTGTTGACTTTAAAGTGCCTTTTTGTAGAAGAAAGGAACTTCAAGGGAGAGGCTATGGGACTGTCCACACTGGCATATAGATAGGGTATTTGGATTCACTGATGGCATGTTTTGGATTTGGGGGGTGGGGGGAAGACCTCGACCTCAAATGTTTAGAACCATCCACCTTTCCACCTTAAGAGTTGCCATGCAACTTTCTGGCCCAGCGGTAGGGCCTGCTGACGTTTTTTTTGGCATGCTCGTTAGCTGGGAAAGAGCGGCCCCCAGCAGTCTCTGCTATCTTGGTTTCAGCTTCTGAAGGAGGAGAGAGAAAAAGTGGAGGGAGAACGAGAGAAGGCAAGCGGGAGGGGGGGGGTCAGGGAGAAAATGGAATAGTGCCAACAGAGGGAGAGAGGAGCAATGTAAAAAAAAAAAAATACTTTCACTTCCCCTGATCCCTCCACAGACAATTAGGGTTAGTGGTCTCAAACCTTTTTTGAGCCGTGTCTGTATTATCAGCACCAGAGGTGTGAATGACCAAGGGCCATACCATCATGGTCAAGACGTGCTCCTTTTCCTTCCATAAAGTTTCCGGTTCTACCACCAGTCAGGCGTATAACACAATACACATGAAATGGACTAAATTGTCTCTCCTTCTGGTTGTTGAGTCTTCTGCAGCATGGCCCTACCCTCCTTTCATCTTGGGAAATAGTGATCTGCTCTTTCGTTACAGACGCCCCAAGAGTACAAGACGATGTGGATCATAACCAGCACAGTGTCAATTCTTTTCATCAGTGTCATCTTTGGTATTTTCTGGTAAATTGCACTCTTTTAATGAGCCATGAGAAAACTCGGGCAACTCTTATTCAGCCATCTGTTGTGCTCCCTTGCTGTTGATTGAACTTCTAACCTTTTCCTACTAACTTTCCATATCTGACGCGGTCCTTACTAGAGGCTTCCTATGTTCATTGTCCTTTGGGGTTACGTGAAAGACAAGGACCTTCTAAAGACCTCCCATTTAACTAGGACTGTGATAAAGGCTCAAACAAATGTTAAAGAAAATGTGTATTCCAAGTGATTAGCCTGTTTTCCTTCTCCCGGAGAGATTTCCTCAGAGGTGTGTGTGTCTCATCAGACACACTTTCAAAATTTGTCCATGTTTACCCTCAAATCAGATTAGGCATCCTTCAGTCTCGAGAGACTATGGTCACGTGCTCTGTATGGAGGACTTGGAACAGCGCCTATTGTGGCTGAGAAGGCCAATTCAAGAGTGACCATCAGTAGGCACGCTAAATGCAAGATACATAGGTGTAGGTGGGGCTCATCAGCCTTGGAAGGCAGCCCATCTAGAAGAAGGAAAACTCCGATTCCAAACCTCCACTGCCTTGTGGCTATATCCACTCATGGAAAAGGCTTCGGGAGTTAACCTAGAGGCAAAATCCGGAGCTCAAGTCCCGAAGGCAGCTCGTGTCGTTCTGCCAACTCCTGCGACGTCGCTGGAACCAGTTGTATCGGCTCTTGCCTTTCCATTGGACCATTTCAGCAATGGGGAGAGGGGGGATCTGCTGCTTGGGTAACAGCCTATCCTCCATAGTATTTTACCTAGGCTTCGTGCCCTGGAGAGGACACTCCAGCTTCGCATACTACAGTACATCGAAGCAAAAACAGGGAGTTGGACAAGGGACAGACTGTGTTGATCTTCAGTGCGGAAGGGATGGTCACTCTCAAATTGGCCTTCTCAGCCGCACTAGATGCTGTTCCATGTCCTCCATACAAAGCACGTTAACATAGTCTCTCGAGACTGAAGGATGCCTGCAGGTGGACAAAAGCAAGTGCTATGCCGAACAGTTTTTTTCCCCCACTACTTCAGGTAGCACCTCTTCTGAAAATCTACTAAGCATGCGTTTCAGAGTCCTTCTGCTTCCTAACCATGCGTGAAGCAGTATGTTCCATCAACGGTTCTTTTTTCCTCCAATGCTTGTGCGAGGGGGAGATCCATTAACCCAGTGGATCCAAATCTTGGTCAACCCAGAGGTTCTTGGACTACAACTCCCAGAAGCCATCACCACCAGCTGCACTGGCCAGGACTGCTAGGACTTGCAGTCCAAGAACGCCTGAGTGACCCAGGGTTGGGGATCACAGTCTTAAGCCCTCGTGCAAGTGGACATTCCCACCCCCCGTCGCACTCTTTTTTTACAGGCCATGCCCAGCCTGCATAACAGCAAGTCGGACATTGCTGTAGCAAACCCTGAGCACTCCGGTTGCAGAGTGCTTAAATTCCAATTTGTCAATAGGATTCGGGTGAGGAGCCTGTTCGACCCTTCGTTGTGGATAATGGAGACTCTGGTTCACCTCTTCTTTCAGTCGTAAACACCTCAGGTGGCTTTTTGATAAGGCACTCCATTTACGTCCCTCACCTCTAGTCTAATAACAGTGGGCTGATGGAAGGATAGACGGTAGAAATTAATTTCTGTGCCCCTCCACCCTGCCACAAAATGGGGGTGGGGAGGAGCCCATTTCCCTTCCTCTTTGGAGTTCCAAAGCCAAGGCATGAAAAATAATTGTGCTGCCACCATGCCAGACTGCGCATCTAGGGCGCAGTCAGAAATGCACACCTCTCGGGACCCAGGAACGGAAAATGGAGAGAAAAGAGGGTGGTGGTTCATGCAGAGGGAGGGAGCAGGCCTTCTGCCAGTTCCCTTCTCTCTCTTTTATTCGTTTTTCCTGTGGCCCCCTTCTGCTGATTCAATACACAGAACACACATTATGCTGTGATCTGCATATGATCCCTCTGGAGATGGGGGATATTCATAACCGCCACTCCTGGCAGTAGGCGGGAGGACAAGCCTCACTGCAAGGTTGAAGAGTGGCGAGCGGATTGGGCCCTGCAGAGCCATGGGTAGAATCACACCGTCCGTGGCAGATCAGTGACTGGACCGTCCAGCCCCATTAGGCTGGACCCTCGTTAACATCACCTGTGAAGGAGGGATATTCGTATATGTATATGGATATCCTCATCACTAGTTCCCACCCCAAAACAAATAGCTTAATCCTATATCAGGATAACTCATTGTCAAGCCTGATGTGAAGACCTAGAATCACACACACAGACACTAGATATGCGCATGAACCGGTTCTTCCCAGTTCTTCCCAGTTCATCAAGGTGGCAGTACAGGTGCTGCTGCTGCTCTCCTCCCACACCTCCTCCGGCTCAATCAACCCCTCGCCACACCCAGGTTGCTTGTCTTTCCGACCTCAACGGATCTGCCAGCCACAGGCAAGAGCTCAGGCTTCGCTGTCCCCGCCCCCTTGGCTGATCTGCCACTCAGACGAAAGGGCGGGGCAGAGAAGTCTGTGCTCTTGCCTGTGACTGGGAGATCAGTTAAGGAGGTGGGAAAAGCAAGCAAGACGGGCCTAGGGAGGGGCTGATTGCCTGAGGAGGCAGGGGAGGGGAGCAGCAGCACCCTTGGCGAACTGGGACGAATCGGGACAAACCGGTTCATGCCCATCCCTAACAGGCACTCAACTTCCTGTGGCACCAGAAGGGCACTGGGCATGCTCAGTTCTCATGGGCTGAGATTTGTGGGAGGAAAATGTTCAGCTCTGACATATTTTCTAAAAAAACTTTTATTCTTTGTTCTGCCTCAGGTCTGTCTAAGCATCTCAGTGCTTCACCTCCGCTGTCTCAGGGGCTTTATTTAGCATCTTTATCCTGTTTTGCACTAAAAGATTTGCGTTTGCTATTACAGGAAATGCTTTCGCATTTCTGTCCCGCTCCGACTGCTTTTCATAGATATTTTCCACAATCTGTACAACAACCTTGTAAGCTGGGCCAGTATGACTACACTCCGTGTAGGTAAGATGGATGGTAGAGAGATGATAATAAGCTTAATAGATTTTTGAATAGTATATGTAATCTTTCTTTTCAGGTGGAAAGCAGTAGGCAGATATCGTTTTATAGTTGACAGCAGTACAAGCCTTGAAGGTACAGGTAGCTTGTACAGTATATTTAAAGCAGGTGAGTCTTAACCTCTTTGGGATTGTGCGTTTGTGATGGATTCACACCATCCATTCCCATGAGAACATATAATCAGCAAAAGAGACTAGAATGAAATCTTATTTTTTTATCAATATCTGATGGCACATACCACAAATAGTAAGCTTTACATGTTAGAAATGCTCTTCTACCCTCATGGTGAAGAGTCTTGAACAGTATTCAGCCCTGTTGGGCAGGGCTCTGCCCCTTGCACGCGCGAATCAGCTCCCCCCTCGTGTGCAACACCGCCACCCCCACTGTGTGGGGTTCTTTCGTGACCAGAATCAAAGGAGCTGTTAGCGATTGCTGTGGCACATAAAGGAGGAGGGACACCGCAGGGAGGGGTGTGTGGCGTCATGCTCGCTCACACAGCCACGCACCTGAGAGAGAAACTTGGTCTTGCACCACCGTAGGAACTAGCATCTTTTATTTGGCTTAAGCATTCATAGACTGTAGGCCACTTTAATGCCAGTGGATTAACATCTATAAAACCTTGTTTCATAGGCAGGAGAAAAGGTCTGGAGCAATCTGAGTTGTGTTTAAAAGGCTCTTATCTTAAAACTGATCTTGCACTTGATAGATCCTTCCATTTACACTGGAGATCTTCTCATGTGACAAGGATCCAGGCAACACTTCAGACCACTCCAATTCCCCCCCATGACACAGCAGTCATTCTCTGGGCTGCATTGACTTCCCTTTTTAGTTCAGTTTAATAAGCGGCATAGCGCTACAGCAATACATCAACCTAGCATGGATGCTTCCTTATATCTGAAAGGATACTATGTCACTTAGGAGAGGTTTCTTTTTAACTGTAAGAAGAGAAAAATGGACAAACGGATTATTCTACCACTAGCCTTTCTATTGTCACAATGTACTGCGTACATCACAGGGCTGTTGTCAAAGACAACGCCACCCACACTTCTATTTGGGAACAAATTAAGCTAACATACAGACCGCAGAACAGGATGACCAGGAAGGCTCCCAGAATGCAGCTTGCAAAAGGGGCAGGATGGATTGTTCTTAGTTAAAACCCATGTCGTAGGGAAATCGGGTGAACCAAACTGCGAATTCACTAAAGTGCAAGTTATATGTCCATCTGGGGCCACAAGATTTCTTATTGTTTTTGCCGCCACGGGCTAAGACTGCTAAGTACAGACCAGATTTCCCCACTGCTGATCACAATACTGCGGGTTATACTCTTCTAGATATATGTGTGACACAGTAGATCGTAGAATCATTTTACGTTGTATGGTTCCCTGTACGTGAATTTTTATTTTAAGTTAAATTTGAGAAAATTCCCTTTGTTAAGCTCTGTGTGTATTTCTAAAATAAATAAGGAACCACAGATCTTCTATTGATTTTTGACGTTTGCCCATCTCTGTTTTGGGAAGACGTTTTTCTTATTTGCTGTACTCACTCTAGATTTTTCTTTTTTTAAAAAGTGCAATGTTTAATCTTTTCAGTAGATGACAAAATGCCTACGGTCGTCTAAGAACCTGGTCTACCAACTTTTTGGTGTAGAACGCCCTGTTGTCCATCTGGTTGGAAGACTTCTTTCCCCCCCACAAGCATGCTCCTCCAGGAAGCTGCAAATCAGAGCATCCGTGGAATTGAAAAGGCACATGGGATACCGCGTGACTTTCCAAGGACATCGTTTGATAATTTCATGGCTTGGATTTTAGTGGCTCCTTTGAACAGAAGATTACAGAACCTCGACCATTTTTTTTGTTTCTTCCAAGAATAACACCTGCAGGCTTTATGTTTTTTTTAAGGAGAGCCGAATACGAGCAGATTTTAACGGCGTATCTCCCATCCTTGTGTACCGGTGAAACTGAGGTGGTCTTGGGAATCCTTTTGAAATAGATATTCAGTTTCCTGCTTTTTTCAGAAGTGCCGAGGCTGCCTCCACGTGACCTCAACCACTGAGAGATTTGGGGAAGGTGTTCCTCCTTCTGCGGACACCCCGTGTGACTCTGAGACCCCTTTAACTGGCCTGTGGGAATGCGTTTGCTTGCACTGGCTTGGTAGAAAGAGGCCTGCAGCTGATCCTTCTCCCACAAACTGTGCCTATTTTTAAAATGGATGCTTAAATATGTATTTTAAATATTTGATTTTTTAAAAAAACAATTTATGAAAATATAACTTATCAGTTAAAGAAAGTGTTTGTTAGCTTTTCTGTGAAGCGATCGATCGTTCCATGCACAGGGCACGTATACACCATGAATACAGGGCGCCCTTCCTTGAGACCACATTACGAAAATACGATTTGGGGCTAAACTTGCTACATCCTGCTTGGTGATCTGCATTATCCCCAGATAGGCCGTGGGAACAAATATTTGAATTAGATTGTCCTTTGGTCTCCTCTAGCTTGACTTTTTAAAATAATGCTCACTTGTGTGGCCCAGCAAAAAGCGCTTACATTTTGGACTTGAATGCAATATGGGGTATAATGGATAGCTGAAACATTAAAATAAGTGAACAATGGCTGAAACCCTGCTCACATCAAGTAGTCTACGTAAGGTTGACGATGTTATTGTCTATGGTGTTTTTTTTTTTAAAGAAATAGAACATTTCCTCAGTTCTTCCCTTAAAAGGTCCTGGGATTCCCATGAATCAGGGAAAGCCACTGGGGGCTGCAAAACTTGTGTGTGGGAGAGAATTCCAATTTCTACAATTTTCGGCCATTGATAAAGTCATCCTGGTGGCTGTGATTTTAGGAAATCAGATACAACACACACAGACCATGGTGTCCAACAACTTCCCCACATAACCTCTCAAGACATTTGGATGACAGGAACTGGAAATGTTCAGTTTTTTAAAAAAATAACATAGTGGCTGATCAGACTTAAGATCTAATCACATATAGACCATTTGAATGGAACTGGAAATGTTCAGTTTTTTAAAAAAAATAACATAGTGGCTGAGATCTAATCACATATAGACCATTTGAATCATTTCTTTTTCCTCCTTTTAAAAATATTGATCTATTTATATGTATAGCCATGTGGTATATGAACTGCTGGGCCTGTTCACACAGCTGTCACTTAAATCAGTGTATTTCTTGCTATTTTTATCAGTTCTGTAGCCTACACGTGCCATCTCCTGTAGATCAATTCATTTTCTTTCCTGTTTCTGGGTCCCTGCTGCCCTAAACTTTCTTTTACAAATAAAATCATAAGTGATATATTGCTAACATGGCATATAGTAGAAGCCACACAAAAGCAGGGGCGATGGTTACAGTAGGGAAGACATCGACTAAGTGATACATCGATAAACTGTTGTGGAGAAAAATAAATAAAAAGTGATTTATCGCTAAGCAATCGGAAAAAAAATTAAAGGGTACAAGCGTGCTGGCCATGCAGTGGCCATGGCACCCCCATACTGACCCATTTGCAAAGTAAAAAAAACATTGACAGCAGTGTTCATATGTGCCAAAATGATAAGGATTTAAGTGATACAGGGACCGGATCATTTTAAAAAGGCCATGCTGGTGTGGTAAAAAAAATCCTAATTCGCTGGCCAAATGAATCAGTGTTACCCATGCGAATAGAAGTTTATAAAACAATGTAAATAATAGCAGAATCAATATAAGTAGGGTTCTTTTGGCATGTGCGACTACACCCTTACAGGATTTCAGCCATCAATCTGTGTTGCATAGACTGATGCTGTTGTTTAATCGTTAAGTCATGTCCGACTCTTTGTGACCTCATGGACCAGAGCACGCCTGGCCCTCCTGTCTTCCACTGCCTCCCGAAGCTTGGTCAAATTCATGTTGGTCCCTTCGATGACCCTGTCCAACCATCTCATCCTCTGTCGTCCCCTTCTCTTCTTGCCTTCACACTTTCCCAACATCAGGGTCTTTTCCAGGGAGTCTGGTTAGGCTGATATGTCAGCCCAATTTTGTAGACTCATAGCTCACCTATGAAATATCTGATTTCTCTCATACTTCCAGAAATATATATATTTGCTCTCTCTCTCTTTTTTTTTAACTCAAAAGGTTTTGCTTTAATTGAAATGTTCCACCACACCAACCATCCCATGTCACATCTCAGAGCTGAACAAACAAGCAGGCAGAAGCAGACTCACAAAATGCAACACGTATGTGGGAACGGCTCCTCCCCCCCCAAACAACTTCTAAAACAGGAATCACACATACATGAAAGTGAACGTACACAGCAACAGACATTGGGATGAAGACCACCTTGTGTGCTGTACAGCACGAGCCCAAGAAGTCAAGGGGTGCCAGTGTGAGAATTTTGAAAACCAAGCTCAGTTGACTTGTCGTGGTCCGCAAGAAAGATTCCTGCCAGTAACTAGAGGATATGAGCAGAAGCCAGGCACTGCAGAATGACAGATCAGGTTGTGTTTGTGCATGAAAATCCTGGATGGCTATGTGGGAACGGCTCCTCAAGACGATTATAATTCATTCCACGAGAAGCGCTGTCTTGTGAAACAATCATCTTGCGAGGTTCCCTATGGGAACCTTGGAAGACGAATGAAATTTATTCGTCTTGTGAGGCATCGGTCTCAAAAAAAAAGTCTTGCGAAGCATGGTCATAGAAAAAACTGACTTGCGAGACACCATAGCGATCGGAAAAAAAACAATCGTCTTGCGGGTTTTTCATCCCGTGAGGCAATCGCCTTGTGAGGCACCACTGTATATGAAAGAGCCCAGGATTTGGAATCACACGATTCCGGAAGCAAACCCCAACTACCAATTTACACAATTTTATTCATTGTGTTAGGGTTTGTCAAGGGGATAGATTTTTCCAACTCTCGTGGGTCTTTCTTGAAACAACTTATAAAATCCCCATATTCTAAAAGGTATATTGGGGGGTGTCCTATATTTTAGAGACAAAGAGAGTTCTTACAGAAAAGAAAGGACAGATTTGCTTCTCTGAATTCAAAGACGTGACCCCCATTTCTTCCATTGAAATTCCCTCCCAAAGAGAATGGCATTCTTCCTCCCCCCCCCAAATGGTATTAAAAAAACAACACAAAAAACTGGTTGGAAGTGCTGCATAGAAAAAAAAAGATCTGATGTCTTCTTTTTTTTAGCTAATCAAAATTTAGATGCCAGTGTTATACCTGTCAACCTACAGTATTTTTATCCCGCCCCTGACAGCAAATCTCCTGAAATGCACATTATTCGTAACTGGGAATTTAAAAGAATTTCCATCTAGTTCTCTCTCCCCCACAGGTTCACATGAGAAGAACTCGCCCGAAATTCCCCCACCCCTAGGGTTTGCAATAATTTATTTCCCCTCAAGAATAGCGCATTGAAGGAGGGTGTGACCGACACATGAAATGCCATAACATGTACGACTCCTCTAGGGTCTAGCACAATAAACTATATCTTCAGACTACACTGGAAATGAGCCCAGTGCATCTTGTTTTCAGCGAGCACTTCCCCCCTCCCAATCCAAGAGTGCAGTCAGGGGAGAAAAAAATCACAATATTAAGTAGACCTGCCCATAAATGAGTCCCCTAATCATGTCTTTCTCCTGCCTTTACTCCAGGAAGACCAGACATCTCTTGCCTAGATCTTCTTCAAAAGCTCTCTACAGCCTCTCTCGGTTGAACCAAACCTTCCCCAACCTATGTTGAATAAATAAAAGGAGTATGAAAGTTTAAAAAACAGCAACACGGTAAAACTAGACCACTTTAAATAAGTTCAGCTATTGCACTTCCAAGCTCTTCCTTTCGCCCACAAACATCAAGATTTTGTTCCATCAGCCTCACGTCTTCCTTTTTTCCTTGTGTGTCTGTATGTGAAATGTGCTTGTTTTCAGCCTTTTATATATTTTATGTCAAAAATGAATCGTGTGTGTGTATGTGTGTGTGTGCATAAACACACATGCTTTTAAATTTCCTGCTTTCCAAACAGCACAGCCCCTGAACCCAGCAGATTTTTAATGAGTGCTGTTGGGTTTCTCGCAAGGCGTGGGGTTCATCAGTTTCTGGCTGACACCGTTTTTTTAAAGACTTTAACAGAAGCAGTATGTGGTGTCGCTGGCTGATGACGGGCACCTCCGGCCCATTTTGCTTTAAACACACATGCTTTTAAATTTCCTGCTTTCCAAACAGCACAGCCCCTGAACCCAGCAGATTTTTAATGAGTGCTGTTGGGTTTCTCGCAAGGCGTGGGGTTCATCAGTTTCTGGCTGACACCGTTTTTTTAAAGACTTTAACAGAAGCAGTATGTGGTGTCGCTGGCTGATGACGGGCACCTCCGGCCCATTTTGCTTCCCCTCTGATTAACAGAAGCAGTATGTGGTGTCGCTGGCCGATGACGGGCACCTCCGGCACATTTTGCTTCCCCTCTGAAACATCAACCCCCCCCCAATGGTGCAGCCCCTCTGTCTGAAAGAAGTCTTGAGGCTTAAATCCAGGACAAGAGAGTAAAAAAAATGGGTCAAGGAGCTGGGGAATGACCGGCTGCTTTCACAGATAGTCATCTTCACTTGAAGGGGATGTCAGCCCACCGTCCTCCAAATCAGAGTCCGATGTGCTTTCCGAAGGAGTCCGGCTCATCTTCCACACGTGTGTGGAGAAGGTCTTCCCCCAACTGCAGGGATAACCCACAGCCCTCAGCTGACAGAGTAACTCCAGGGCCTGCGGTGGCCCTTGATTTCTCTCAGTTCACTTGCTGCCTTTTGCGCTTCTTTGTTTACTCATAGCGGTCAGCATCTGGCTGATGTAGGAGGTCAAGAGATCATCCATCTTGTAGCCCTGGTGGAAAAGTGGAGAGGGAGAAGATAACGCACAATTAGAGATGGGCACGAAGCACAGTTCAGCGGTTCGGCCCACATGGGTGTGGCGCCCACACAGGTGTTCTGCAGGCGCCACTCACTCCCCTCTCCTGCCTCCTCTGCCCACTCTCCCCTTCCCTGGACAAAAAACATGCTCCCTTCCCCGCCTCCTCAGCACGACTGCCCACTCAGCGCTCACATTACTCCTCTGCCTCCTCCAGCAGCTGCCCACTCAAAGGTAGCACCACCTCTTTGTCTCAGCAGGCAGTCGTTGGTGGAAGCGGAAGAGGGAAGTGCCCA